AACACTTAAGATTTACTCCCTTAGCAAACTTCAAGTATACAGCACAGAATTAACTGGTCCCCAGGCTGTACATTAGATTCCCGGAATTTATTCATCTGACATAACCCAACCTTTGTACCCTTTTACCAAGCACAGCCTAAATGTTGACTGATGGATGGATACAGAACACACATACAATGGAATATTAGTTGGTCTTAAAAAAGAAGGAACTTCTGTCATTTGTGACAACACAGATGAACTTGGAGGACCTTATGCTAAATGAAATAAGCCACACACAAAAGACAAATACTGCATGATCTTACTGATACGTTGAATCTATTGGACTTGCAGAGGCGGGGGCAGTGGTTGCCAGGGGCTTGGGGGCGGGGCAGTGGGTGCTGTCCTTTAACTTGCTGCTTTACAATAGCCGCAGCTGGTGGGAATGGGAACACTGTCTTGTAATTTGTGGTGAGTGGTCAAATGCTACTTGTCCATTATATGCCAGTCATGATCTTTCTCTGGGGCACGGTCTCATTTTTACTGGCTGAATTGTGTCCTCCTAAAGTATATATCAGAATCTCAGAATGTAAGCGTATTGGAAGAGAAGGTCTTTAAAGGATGGTGAGTAAGTGAAGTCTTTAGAGTGGCCCCAATTCATTATCACGGTGTTCTTATGAAAGGAAGTTTGAATAGAGACATGTGACCGATGAAGGTAGAATACGCTTTGGGGTAAAACGACGTGTTTCTGCATTGGAGTTGGACTCTGGTTCCCACTTTGCATTAGTCATTAAGTCTCTGTTCTAGTATTTCCCATCTTAAAACCAACCAACTCACCCCGACTCACCCCATTTCAACATCCCCCCTGGCTGCTCCTTCCCATTTCTGCTCCTTTCACAGGAAGGGTCAAAGGTTGTCTGTAGTTACTCCCCTCCCCCCCCACTCTGCTGCCCACCTGTGCTCCTCCCCTCCACTAGGACGGCCCTCCCCACGCTCCACATCATCCTGTGGCCTGTCCCTGCGTCCCTGTGGCTTCTTCGTCCTTATCTTTTTCGATGTCTCAGCAGCCTGCAGCTCACTTTACTCCCTTTCGCTCGGAATGGTTTCTCTCTTGGCTTCGCCTGCAGACATCGCCCCTTCTGGATTCCTATCTTACGCCTTGGCCTCCTTCTCAAGCTGCTTTTCTGATTCCAACTCTTCCTCTCGAGTTTACGTGGAGGAGTGTCCCAGGACAGTTTGGGTGTTTCTTGGCCTTCACCCTTTCTCTCAGCAGCTACAGTAAGTCCGTGGCTGAGAGGCGTCCTCCTCCGCAGAGAGGCCTCAGCCAGTGTCTCCCCCGAGACTGCCCTGGAGCCCAGGCTCACACATCCCACTGCTGACTAGGCCTCTCCACATCCCATGTCATCGCAGACTCCTCGAGAATAGAATGTTGCCTTTCCCCCCTCCAGCCACAGAAGGTAATCACACACTCAAACCTGCCAAGCCACGTGCAGTTCTGGGGCCACTGCACTTGGGCTCCCTGGGCCCCAGGTTTCTCCTCCATGAGCTTCGCTCGCAGCCTCCTCCTAACGGTCAGGTCTCAGATCTCGTCACCTCTTCTGAGAGGACGTCTGGTCATGCAGCCGACGCCAGCTGCCTGTCCTCTCTGTCACTCACCCCGTCTTGATTCTCTGCGCACTGCTCCTTCCGGGTGACTACAGCCTCCCTCTGACCAGAAGGTGGTGGGGAGCTGGAAGGGAAAAGTTTGGGGCCCAGTGGGCCAGGCCTAGTGGAGAGTGCAGGTGAGGGCAGCTTGGAAACAGGAGGATTAAGTCAAGGTCTGCGCTCTGAACAGTGGGATCTGCAGCCAGGGTTGCTCTTAGGGTCCACAAGGTCAGCAAATACTTTTTGTGTGGCATCTTTTTACATATATATATATATATATATATATATATATATATATATCTATATGCAATTTGAGCCACATAAAATCAGCCTCTTATACGATCTTGTGATAAAAAAGCTACGTAGGATTCATTTGCTTGCTAGGCCACCGTTCTGGAACTATGGCCAGAGTACTGGGCCCCTGAATGACTCCACTGATATGAGTCCCAGCTCCATGGGGCATCAGTTAACCCTCTGCATGGAGGACAGGGTCAAAGAGTACTCTGAGGGGAGAAGCAGGGACTAGGCTCATGCAGGACGTGTGCTGGACTTGGACCACCTTACCTGTGTAGAGCTCTGCCCCTGCCAATCCCGGGAGGAGTCTTTCTGGCCACTCCTGGTGAGACTTGGGGGGAAATTTGCACGAGAGGCACTTCAAAGCCTGGTGTTCCCATGAAGAGGTTCAGTCTGCTTGAGTCCCAGCACTGTCCAGCCCACAACCTCCCTCACCACAGACTCCTGGTAGAACAGAGGGACAGACACTGAATAACCTCAGAAAGGACCCCTAGATTCTTTAAAATTATATATATTTTATTGATATTTTACAGAGAGGAGGAAGAGGGATAGAAAGTTAGAAACATTGATGAGAGAGAAACATCGATTAGCTGCCTCCCGCACACCCCATACTGGGAATATGCCTGCAATCAAATATACATGCCCTTGACCGGAATCGAACTGGGGACCCTTCAGTCCGCAGGCTGACACTCTATCTACTAAGCCAAACCAGTTAGGGCAGGACCCTTAGATTCTTCTTTTCTTTTCTTTTCTTTTCTTTTCTTTTCTTTTCTTTTCTTTTCTTTTCTTTTCTTTTCTTTTCTTTTCTTTTCTTTCTTTTTTTAAAAAAGTATTTTATTAATTTTTTTTTTTTTTACAGAGAGGAAGGGAGAGAGATAGAGTGTTAGAAACATCGCTGAGAGAGTCATCGATCAGCCGCCTCTTGCACGCCCCCTACTGGAGATGTGCCTGTAACCAAGGTACAAGCCCTTGACCAGAATCGAACCCGGGACCTTTCAGTCCACAGACCGACGCTCTATCCACTGAGCCAAATCGGTTAGGGCAGGACCCCTAGATTCTTATGCTGGAAGGTTTCTCAGTGAGATGGCTGGTGCCTCACCCAGCATTCCAGAGTCTCCCATTCAGATCTTTACTTTCTCTCTTGAATGGGGTCAGAAAACATTTGAGGAGAGCCTCCTGCATGAATGACAGCAAATAAAACAAACTTAAAAAAAGATCCCAAAAGAAAATACAGAGGGAAAAGACATAGATCAGAAGATGGGAAAGGAAATACGCCAAAACCCTTAGAAATGGGCTATTGCATTCATGAAACAAATACGGGTGCGACGAAGCAAAAAGGAACATCCAAAGAATAAGAAAGAGGTGCTGGGGATTACAAGTGCAGGGGCTGAAATAAAACATTCAGTAGAAGGTGTGGAAGATAAAGTCAGTGAAATCAACCAGGGAAGAGATGGAAAACAAGAGGGAAATGATAAGGCACTTAGAGGATCAACTCAAGAAGACCAGTTTTTGACAAGTAGGAGATGTAGAAAGCAAAAACAGAAATGAGAGAAGAAATTGTCTAAGAAACCCTCAACCAAGATGTGTTAGGCTGGACGGACCTGAGGCTCTAGGTGAAAGCATCTCACACGCCCAACCAAATCAACGAAAGACAGTCCAAGCCAAGGCACCTCATTGGAAAAGTTCAGAACGTCTGTGACAAAAGGAAAAACCACTCCTTACGCAGAAGAATGAGAATGCCAGTGGCAGTGCTGGGTGGAAGAAGACACGACGGTACAGGCTTCCACATTCTGCAGGAAGCAATTATTAATCACATTCTGTGAGCTGCGCGAAGTTAGCAGCGGTAGGTGAGGGTAGCAGAGAGATGCTTTCAGACAAGGCTCAGAAAGTGTCCCTTGGAAAATCCTTACTTGTGTAAGCTCTGTGAGCTCTGAGGCTGCAAAGTGAGGAAGTGGCCAAGAAAGAAAATGTAGAACAACAAGCAAGGGCTTCACCTCAGGGAGGCTGAGGGGCAGGTCCTGGAAAGGGATGGACAGGAGACCGAGGCAGCAAGCAGGTGAAATGAGGGAAGAAGGTGAGATGGTGTCTGGGGCGGGGTGTTCCTTGGAAAAAGATAATGGCTGTCACAACTGATATAATAAAAAGCACTTGGTTAAACACAGAGAAATATCTGAGAGAGGTTTGGGATTTCAGAGGCCTATTTAGAAAGTTAAGAAATGTACTTCGTAGAATTGGTGGAAATATCACTCTGTTTGGCTTCACAGTGAGCCACGGTTACACTGCTTACTGCTTTAACCACAAACTGTGGTGCTGACCGTGTGGATGAGGGAGGGAAAGGACGGGTGTGTCCCTGATTGAGAAGTGTAAGTGCTACCTGCTCACGTACGAAAACAGAAAGGCAGTGATTAATGTCTAGAATCAGTAAGTCAAGAATTGGTGGCATTGTTCAGGCAAACGTAAACAGGACCAGTGAAAAATACCTGAAAATGGCGGCCTGAGGGTGCAGGCCAGGGGGTCAGTTGGGATGAGGTTATTTGGAGAATTGCTGTGTTTTATAACAAGGTTGGGCTGATGATGAATATCTAACATACATATGTAACTTTGATGTAGACAAAGATGGGGAAAACACACACACACACAGACACACACACACGACCTTTTTGGAGCTTAAAAATGGGACAAAAATGGGAGATTTGGGGCCCCACGCCGGCTCTCTCTTGGAGACATCAGGATAAGACATGACCATGTCCTGCTCAGTTGAAGCCTCTAGGAAGACCAGATGGAAGTGTGGCCCAGGCTGGCCCAGCATCCTCTTATCTTTGCAGAAAGCTGGAGTTTACAAATTGTTCCACATATTTCAACCCACCAACTTTACCTCAGCGTGCTGAGGGTAACGATTGCCCTTTCTAGTTGCAGATGCTGGGATGGGAGTGGCCACGCTGGCCCACCCCATCCCACCCCACCCCATCCACCCCACCCCACCCTTATCCTACCCCACCCCACCCCACCCCATCCAGCTCAGGTGGCCCTGCTGCGCACTCACAGACGCACTTCTCTGTCACCTAATGTTATTCTGTCCCTTTTAGAGGAAAGAGGAAGAGGAGCGGAAGCGAGGGGAAGAGCAGATCCGCCGCCAGGAGGAGCAGAGGGCCAGGGAGCTGTACTGGACGCTGAAGCAGGCGCAGCTGCAGAGCCAGGCCAGCGAGAAGGAGGAGCGCGAGTGGGAGGAGCAGTGTGAGTAGAGCGTGGTCCTCAGGGCCCAGACCCGCCTGCCTTCCCCGCCCTCCCCTCCCGCTTGCTTATCTGCTCAGCCTCAGTCCAGTTCACTCAGCCAGAGGTCTTTACCCAGAACCATCCAGGTGTCCATCCTGCTAAGGAGCAGAGGCTGAGGGCTCTGAGCTAAGGTGGGGAGCCAGCATGGGTGCAGCATGAAGGCTGTGGTGTGCTGGGGCAGAGGGCGCTGTCTGTGGCGGGTGTGCAGCTTGGAGAGTGCTGGGTGTTGAGAAGGTAGATGGACAGGGAGGTGGCGTCAGGGGAGGCTGTGGTGGGTGTGCACCCAGGCTTGCTGCAGTAAGGGTCGGTGGGACCTGCAGACGCGGAAATGACTGTCTTGCAGGGAGAACTTTTTACTTCCGGTTCCTAGAAACAGAGGGCTCATCACTCAGGGCCACACAGGGAAGGCCCAGGGCTAATCAGGAGGCAGAGGGGGTGAAGGGGAATGGGGGCAAGAGCCTGCATGTGGATTCCGTGGGAAGGGGAGGCAGGCTTAGGCTTGGCTGGTGTGAATGGCTTCCGCAGGCTTTGGGGTAAGGAGCTGTCTCCAGTGGGCTGATACCTGGCCATGGGTAATATTGGGCCAGCTGGATCGTGACCCAGAGTGTAAGAACTAGCTACAGGAAGTGGTGGGACATGGGCTCTGGATGGGTTGGTTTGCATGTGGGAAGGCAAGCCAGTGCTTTATAACCCTTAGGAACTGGCTGGCGCTGGGAGGGGTGTCTCTAGGCCCCAAGGTCCCAGATGTCCAACGTAAAAGTATAGAAAACGGAAAGCACGTTAAATACAGGTGCGCAGTGGGAAGCCTCTAAAGGGGAGTGACATGACTGAGGCTGGGCATGGGAATGAGAAGGGAGGCTGCTTCAATGGTGCGCTTCAGAGACCACTGAACCACGGCCACAGCAGGGGCAGCGGAGATGGGAAGTGACGTCCACTTCCAGGTCCCTGGTCCTCAGCCTTTCTTAACCATACGTCAGATTCATCACTCAGACTTTTAAAAAATTGAAATGTAACTCCCACAACAGTGTACAAATCCCTTTGAAGTATACAATTCAGTGATCACAGTCTATTTACACAGTCGTGCAATCATCACCATTGTCTAATTCCAGAGCATTCTCATTGCCACAAAAAGAAACTCTGTGCCCACTGGTTACTCCACCTGCCACACCCGGGAAACCACACATCTAGCACGAATCTAATTTCTGCCCTATGAGTTTGCCTGTTTTGGATATCCTCTATATAATAAAAGCCTACTATGCTAAGTGTCTGGTTGTCCAGTCATCTGGTTGTCCGGTCATCTGGTTGTCCATTCAACCAATCAAAGCATAATATCAATGCTAATGACATGCTAAGGCCGCTCAACTGCTCGCTATGATGTGCTCTAACCATCAGGGGGCAGATGCTCCGGCTGGTAAATTAGCTTGCTGCTGGGGTCCGCCAATTGGGACTGAGTGAGATGGGCTGGACACACCCTGGAGCCCTCCAGCGGTTTCTCCGTGGCTGCCAACCTCCTGCATCCCTCCCCTGCCTCAGATGTGCACCGGTGGGGTCCCTCAGCCTAGCCTGCACCCTCTCACAGCTGCACTTTGAGTTTTGCTTGCTGTCTAAGGACAATAAGAAGGAAGCTGCGGGAAAATTGGCCAACAAACAAAGGCCCAGTGAGCCACTCTGGGGCAAGGCCAAGGGAAGACGTGGTCCAAAGGCCAAGTCTGGGACAGTTAACATCCCAGTTTTGTCTGACAGCAGCACAGGACAAACTGTAAGAGGCTCCCAGCTATCAGCTTGTGCCCAGCCGCTGTCTCTGAGGCGGAAGAACGTCGCTCCTTGGCCAGGGCAGCCCCTGTGGGAGCTCCCAGTACAGGACTCAGTAAACTCGTTTCCAAGCCCAGAGCCAATAACTTACACCAGCAACGCCAGGGGGTGGGGGAGGCCCCGCTGCTGGTGAAGATGCAGGAACAACAGGTCTCACAGCTGTACATTTTGAAAATAAAACTTCATTAAATAACACACACACACACACACACATACACACACACACACACACAACATCAAGCTAAAACATTACTGCACAGCAAAGGAAACAATCAACAAAATGAAAAAGGCAACCTATGGCATGAGAGAAAATATTTGAAAACCACATATCCAATAAGGGGCCAATATCCAAAATATATAAGGAGTGCATACAATTCAATAGCAAGAAACAAATACTTGGATTAAAAATGGGCAAAGAACCTACCTATATATATTTTTTTTTCAAAAAAAGATATAGCTGGCCAATGGGTACATGAAAAAGTGCTCAACATCTTTAATCACCAGGGAAACACAAATCAAAAAAAGGTACAACCTGTTTATTTTTGCTGTTGGTGTCATACTCCCCAAAATCATTGCGAAGGTCAAGGAACTTTCTCCCTATAGTTTTCTCCTAGGAATTTTATAGTTTCAGGTTTTACACCTAAGTCTTTACTCCAGTTTTGTTCTTTTGCATGTGGATATACAGTTTTCCCAACACTATTTATTGAAAAAATGATCCTTTCTCTCTTGTGTGTATTTGGTGACTTTGTTGAAGTTTAATTGATGGTATTTGCATGGGTTTATTTCTGGACTCTGTTCTGTTCTCACTAGTCAACATATCTGTTTTTATGCCAGTAACATACTGTTTTGTTTATGATAGCATTATAATACTTTTTATAATAATTATCTAATTTATAATGATAGTAATAACTATTAGGTGAGATGCCTCCAGCTTTGTTCTTCCTGCTCAAGGTTGCTTTAGTACTCAGAATCTTTTGTGGGTCTATAGGGTTTTAATGATTGTTTTTTCTATTTCTGGGGAAAATGCCATTGGAATTTTGACAGGGATTGCATTGAATCTCTAGGCCACTTTGAATAGTATAGGTATTTTAACAAGATTGATTCTTTCATTCTGTTAATGCAGGATATCTTTCCATTTATGCGTGCCTTCTTCAGTTTTTGTCATCAGTGTTTTATAGTTTTTAATGTACAGGTCTTTCACATACTTAGTTAAATTTATTTCTAAGTGTAATTCTTTATGATGCTATTGTAAATGGGTTTGTTTTTGTAATTTATTTTTTGGGTAGTTTGTTGTTAGTGAATAGAAAGACAACTTATTTTTTTGTATCCAATTTTGTTGATTTAAAAAAATATATATTTATTGATTTTCCACAGAGAGGAAAGGAGAGAGAGAGAGAGCTAGAAACGCCAATGAGAGAGAAACATTGACCAGCTGCCTCCTGCACACCCCCTATCAGGGATGTGTCCGCAACCAATGTACATGCCCCTGACCGGAATCGAACCTGAGACCTTTCAGTCCACAGACCAATGCTCTATCCACCGAGCCAAACCGGTTTCAGCCAATTTTGTTGATTTTATATCCTGCAACTATACTAAATTTGCTTACTTTAACAAGTTTTCGGTGAAATCTTTAGGGTTTTCTATATTCAAGATCATGCCATCTGCAAACAGAGACAATTTTACTTCTTTCTTTCTGATTTATCTTTATCTTACTTCCTTTCCTTTCCTAATTATTCTGCCTAGGACTTCTAATATTATGTTGAATAAAAGTGGTGAGAGTGGGCATTCTTGTCTGTCTTGTTCCTTATCTTGAGGAAAAGCTTTTACTCTTTCACCACTGAGTATCATGTTAGTAGTGGACTTGCCATATATGGTTTTATTTTATTAAAGCACATTTTTTCTTTACCTAATTTGTTGAGAATTTTTATCATGAAAGGATGTTGAATTTTGCTAAATATTTTTTTTGCATCTATTGAGATGAGACTATGACTTATATTCTTCCTTTTTGTTAATGTAGTGTATCACATGGGTTAATTATGTTGAGCCATCCTTGCATCCCAGGAATAAATCCTGCTTGCTCATGGTATATAATTATTCTAATGTACAGTTGACTTTGATTTGCTAAGATTGTATTGATTTTTCTGATTGAGCAATCTATTAATTATTAAAAATGGGCATTGACATCACCTATTATTATTGTATTGCTGATTATTTCTCCCTTTATAATCAACAGTGCAATAATCCCGAGATAATATTTACTTTATATATTTAGTTGGCATATATATTTATGATTGTAATATCTTATTAATGAATTGACCCCTTATCACTATATAATGATCTTCTTTTCTCTTGTAACCATTGTCTTAAAATATATTTTTATTAATTTTAGAGAGGAGGGGAGAGGGGAGAGAAAGATAGAAACATCAATGATGAGAGAGAATCATTGATCAGCTGCCGGTTGCACACCCTGAACTGGGGATCAAGCCTGCAACCCGGACATGTGCCTTTGACTGGAATAGAACCAGAGAAGTCTCAGTCTGCAAGCCAATGCTCCATCCACTGAGTCAAACTAGCCAGGGTCTCACCATTTTTGGTTTCATGTTTATTTTGTCTGTTTGTCATGTTTATAAGTTTAGCTACCCCTGCTCTCTTTTTATTTCCACTTGCCTGGGATATCGTTTTCCACCCAAGAAAGGTGAGCATTTGGAAAGGCCTGTGGAGAAAATGACATTTGATTTGGGACAAGTAGGGAGGCAAAGAAGGCAGGGAAGGGCATTCTAGCAGAGGGAACAGCACCAAGCAAAAACAAGGTCATTGTGTGTATAGGACATGGCACATGTTTTAATGTGGCTGTAGCTTGAAGTTCAATGATGAAAATGAGGCCAGAAAGATAATATGGTCAAGAGCTAAGAATACTTCATTCATTTAAATTCAGAATGGAAGGGAAAGAAGGGCAAAGGTTATACTGAAATAATAATGGACAATTACAATTAGAATGGACAATTACGAGGCTACTATGGTGGGGGAAGGAGACCCAGACTGGCAGTCCCCATTGGCAATCTGATCCTAGCTCTGCCCTTGCTGGTGTGACTGCGGGCAAGTTCCTGCTCAGTTGCTTAGCCTCCTCATTTGTAAAATGGGGGCAGTCA